CCCCCAAATTTAGAAAAAAAAATCAAAACAAGGAAAAATCAAGGAAAACTCAGAAAAAATTGAGAAAAACAGAGCAAAAAAATCAGGAAAAAAAGCAAAAGTAGTGTACTCTTTCTAGTGAAGTCGGACTCACGTGGAAGGAGACGAGCGGCAGCGTGCGGCCCTTGAAGCCGTGCGCGGCGTGCGGGAAGATGTGGTCCTCCAGGGTGAGTCCCTCGCGGGGGCGCCACCAGCCCACGTCCACGAGCGAGGCCGTGATGTGCGGGCGCGAGCGCGGCTGCGGCAGCGACCACGCGAAGTCGTCGTCGTCCTCCTCGTCGTGCAGCTGCCCGAGCTGCGCCCACGGCTGCGCGCCGCCCCTCGCCGCCCTGCGGGACCTCCGGGGCGCAGTCGACCTCCTCGCCGTCGTCGTCGGCTCCTCCACGACGGAGCCGCCGCCGGGCGCCATCCTGGGCGGCGGCACCCGGGACGTGCCGGGCACCTCGGAGTGCGACAGCCCCCAGGTGTCGGCCGAGCGCAGGCGCCACGCCGTGCAGTTGCCGCACGAGCCCGTGGTGCGCAGCAGGTCCCGGACGTGCGACAGCAGCAGCGCCATGCGGTCCTCCCTGGCGGGACGGATGGCCTCCCACTCCTCGTCGGACACCTGCGTGGCCAGCTCCTGCTCGTCGCGCACCGACCGGTCCAGCGCCACCAGGAAGGCGCGGAGCAGCTCGCGCGCGTGGCACTGCACCCCGGCCTGCGGCCAACGTCAAGCACCCCGTCCGTGAGCGTGCTCGAAGACCACCGCGCCCGCCCCGTCCCCGCCCGCGCCACGCGCCAACACCGCCAACTCACATCGCACGTCTCCTGGGGCGCCGAGCTCGTGTAGTTGGCGACGAAGGCAACGTTGTCGCCCTCGTGGAGGAGGCTGGTGAGCGTGACCAGGTTGCCGAAGGTGGCGTCGCTCAGGACGTAGAGCCACTGGCTGAGCGGGTGCACCATGCCCAGGGACTTGGCCTGCGACCAGGAGCAGCACAGTGAGCGTCACGTTGACCCTGACCGCAGCTTAGTCAGCTCGCACATACCACGTCCATGATGACCCCGACGAGGTCGGAGCCCACCAGCACCAGGTACCTCTCGCCCAGCCTCGTGAGCCTCGACAGTGGCAGCGACCGCAGTACCCCCTCCACTCGTTTTCGCCTGCGTACAAAAACGCAACGTGGATGATCAACCTCTATTTTCAGGGCGTGGGGCACCTTTATTTCACGGTCCTCATTTTGCAACCCTGAGTTGAGTGCCGTAAAAAACGGTAACCCACCCGGATTTTTTTTGTTATATGAGCTAATTTAAGTTTATTCGTAATGTATATTTATTAAGAGTCGTCACCTCTTCCAGTCGGAGTGCTCGACGGGCAAGCTGTAGGCCGTCACGGAGGAGGGCAGCGTGTCCGGCGTGCTCACGGCCAGGGCCGCCAGCAGGCGGTCCAGGAGGTACGGGTCTGCGGACAGTCACACCCCCGTCACACCAACACATCGTCACACCACCGTCACACCGTCATACCAACACACCGTCACACCAATACACAGTCACACCAAACACACAGTCACAACCCATCACACGAGGCGCCCGTCACAGACTCGTCACACATCTCGGCCGATGCTCACCGATGGAGTTGTCGTGCAGCACGATGGCCGAGCGCCACGTGAGCGCGCGCGCCATCTTCATGTCCAGGATCATCTGCGGCAGCACGCCACCGCTCTCCGTCAGCGGGATAGTGAGGCCGACGTCCGACGGCAAGCGCGGGCAATCCGCATCTGCGGCAGGAAAAGGGATTCACTTGGACATTCCATGAACAACACACCTTTGAAGTTTCCCGTTATTTTCCGGAAAATTTTGGAAACTTCCAACCCTGTTCCATATCACCCCACCTGTGATGGCGAGCTGGAGCAGTGTCTCCTGCTCCATGCGCCTGTAGATGGCCCAGGTGTCGGCGCAGGTGGCGACGCTGACCACGGCCGTGAGGTCCGAGCGCAGGGCGTAGTCGGCGATGCCGTAGTACTCGACGTTCAGGCCGCCGTGCTGCAGCAGCTCCAGCGTGCCCACGCCCAGGAAGGCGCGCAGCTGGTCCAGCAGGTTGGCGCCGTCCTGGCGGTGGAAGTGCGGGTCCACCACCACGGCTGCGGCAAGGGGGAGGAGCGCGACGAGGGCGGTGGAGTCTCAGCTCAGCAGTGGCGCGAGGCGGGCGAGGCGGGCCGCCCGGGAGGTAGGCAAGCCTCGCGGTCGCACGCACCCGCGCCCAGCGGGCCGGCCTACCCGCTCGCCCCGCAGGCGCGCGTCGCACCGCCACGAGACGCTGAGGCGGACGAGGAAGAGGACGAAGAGGGCGAGGAGGAGGACGAAGAGGGCGAGGAGGACGAGGAGGACGAGGAGGACGAGGAGGAGGACGAAGAGGGCGAGGAGGACAAGGAGGACGAGGAGGACAAGGACAAGGAGGGCGAGGAGGACAAGGAGGGCGAGGAAGAGGACGAAGAGGACGAGGAGGACAAAGGAGGGCGAGGAGGACGAGGAGAGCTAGGAGGACGAAGAAGAGGGGGACGAGGAAGACCAGGAGGAGGACGAGGAGGAGGACTGGGGGAGGACGAGAAGGAAGACTAGGATGAGGGGGGCGAGTATGGGAGGACTAGGAGGGGGAGGACGAGGACGACGAGAACGAACTGCAGGTGGGTTAAAGTGCCCTTTCTTACCGAGCGTGGCGTTGTTGAGGTCATAGCTGGGGGGCTCGGCCGCGTTCGCGACGCTCCCCAGGTTCACCAGGACCACGACGACAAGGACGAGCGCGGAGTGGAGCAGCATGGCTGTGCCCGTCTCCGTCCGCCACCAGAGCGGGTGGAAACCTTTTTGGCCTCCAACGGAACGGGGACACGGACGATTAGAAACAAGAAATGCACTGAGAGCGGCATAAGCACAAAATAAAAACTGATTTATGACCTTATGGTCATTTGGATATGTGTGAGTTCACCCACAATAGGTCCTAGGTGCGAAACACTGCCGTACATCGCCGTACTCACTGGCGCGCTGGAGAAGGCCAGGACCACCCCGAGCCGCTCTCCGTCCGCCCGCCGCCCGGCTGCTGTCCGACTCATCGCGGGCCGGCGCACGCCCGGGTCCCTCCGGCGGCGGCGCGCGGGGTCCTTCCCCTCGGCCGCGGCCCCGGGCGACCCCGACGGGCTGCTCCTCCTCCTCGGCGCCGACGGCGGCGGTCGCCCCGATTGGTCGGCAAGGTCACGTGCACGACGACGACGACGGGGAGGACGAGGCAATCTCGGGCCGCTAATAATTTTCTCATCGCCAGAAGAGTCAATGTTCGATCCGCCGCTGCTGCAGGCCGTCAAGCAAGGGGTCGGTGCTCGCGGCCACACCACCGGGTGGCTCCGCGCGGCCACCTGCAGGACCCGGACTCAATCTGAGACTGGCTCGAGCCGGGCTGGGCCGGGCCCATGGGTCATTCCGAGCCTCCCGCCGGGCCAGGCCAGGCCGCAGTCACGACATCGCGGGGGTTCCTCTTGAGGGGGAGGGTGTGTGCTAGTTTCACGCACACGCGGCGCGCACCCCC